GATGGCTCTAGGTACCGTTGTTTTATCACAATGCGAGAAACATACATACATTTATGCAGATTCTCCATTATTTAATTTCTTCAAATATAATACAGAGCTCTAACATTAGGTGGCAACAGTTTTAAAAGTGAAACGGACATTTATAGTGAACCAACGCAAAATCGCAAAACGAAACCGATAGTCCTTCAGGGACAAAGCCCCTTTGGACTAAAAAAAAAACGTTTATTACAATTAACTGTGAAACTAACTTCTCAGTCATTTTTACGTTACCGGTTGTGCTAGTTTGGAGGTACGGCTTTATTGTTCTAGATTAGGTTAGGTTACCCGCCATTTTGACGGGTATTCTTAGAGATAGCTATACTTCCTACAGAACTCTGAAATTAAAGGCATAAAGGGGAAATAAATTTGGGCATGTATGGGTATGTCGTATGGGTATGTATTTCGATAATTGCCGTAATAATTAAAAAAATTATGTTTTCTGTAATTCTGCTCATGAAGTTCAAAATCCGTCAAAATGACGGGTCCTGTAAATATAATGCTAATATTACCTTCATCATGTTGTACATTACTTGATAAAAGTACTGACGTTTATTACAGTGAATTCTCTTCTCCCAGATGATAAAAGCAAACAGATTTCTGGTGACGGGAAATCTAATTATATTATAAGGAAAATTCATTGCGAACTTTTAGAATATAAACTGCATAAAAGGAACTGCATACTTATTGGAATAGGACTCATAAAACCAAAATTTGATTTAAAGCAATTTAATTTCCTTTAATAAAATTGACAAATAATGTTTAATAGCTGTCTCTTTATATTACATTAAAGATGTGTAGGGAATCATTTGAGTAAATTCAATTTCAAATTTTCTAAAATTATTGGAAATGGAGTCAAATGATTAAAGTTTTCTGAAATTCAAATATGCAGATGTCGCCATTAATTTAATGTAAAGTGAAATTCAAATTATGGCTCCGTGAAACTAATAAAGAGTTCCGACATAAATTAAAAAATTTGATGTGTACACCACATGACTTCCTTGTACGGAATATTAAATTATAAGCATTTTTTCTTGCATTTCATTTAAACTTATTGGATTTAATTAAATCTACTTTCTCGATAGGGCATGAACCACAATAGAATAAATGCACTCTTTAAAATTCACTATATTTGTTTACCATAGCGACACTCTGGCGCTAGGTTCACTTAACAGCGTTATATTTCGTTCATACTATAACTATGTCTATGTCGTAACACAATTAAGAGGCAATCGGCCTAGTGCGGCCTTTACCAATATATTATAAGTAGTGTGTCTTTAATGATGAGTTGAATTTAGTAAGATGGAACGTACTTTTTGCACCTAGTGCAGAGTCTCTAGAAGAGAAGTAAACGTGGCTCCACGACGTGAGGATCTGCAACTTGAGGATTTCTGCCGCTCGGCTATGCTTGTCTTGAGAGAAGCTGCGAATTAATCTTTATCTGCACAGTTCAGAATCACCTCAATGGCTTGGAAAGCTAGGCAAAGTTTCTGCATATTTGATTTAGCTGATTTAATTCTCTGAACTATTGTGGTTATTGATTTCATAAGAAAAAGGGTTTTCTGATCTTTGAAAATGTTAATGATTTCTGCTAAATTTTCCTGCGGGTTTTTCTGCTTAACTTTGTCCCTGTAAAGGTTTTTAGGCATTTCTTGATTAGTTTTGGCCTGAAGCTTAAATAAATTCCGGGGAAGTCATCTTTAGTAGGAATTTTCCTATGGTTTTTCTATCTTCTCTAAATTGATTGAATCTTTTATATACCTTACAACCACGAAGAAAAACGTGATTTTCTTGACAATACAAGTTTGTTTTTCATCTGATTTTAATTTACAGGTATTGGATCGGTGATTTTGTCCGCACTTACAGCACCTGACCTTTTTAAAGTAGTTATTTTGGGAGTGCCCGAACTCCTGGCAATTGAAACATTGAATTGGGCGTTTTCTGGGCTGATATTTTTCTATTGTGATATTGAATCCGAACATATTGTTTAATTGATGAATTTTCTCTCCTGCAGAATTTCTTTTTAGTTCAAGGAAAAATATAGGTAAATGGATAATTTGGTCTTCTGCTTTCTTCATGAACTGCTTTACTTTAATTATAGGGAAGCTTCTGCGTTCTAAGTCTGCATGAATTGCTTGCTCTGTGTAGGATCTTGGGATATTTTTAAGTATGACTTTAATTGAAGAGGCTGAGGAAATTTGGTACGTATTTTTGTGCGTAATTTGGTAATCTGTGCTTTCTAGAATTTATCAACTGTAGTTTTATAATCGGCTTAGGTAGTGCAAAGGAAAATCTGGTTTTGATTGTAACTTCAAATTCGTTTTTACACATTTCTCTGAGCATTTTCTCTATTTCAGGCCAATCAACATCATTTTCTGGAATGACTTATGGGGGGAATTTTCGTTTTATTTTCTGCGCTGTAGTCGTCTGCGTTTCATCTGTAACTTTCATAGCTTCGTTAGTTTCGTTAAGAGTTTCAAATCTGTTATTTTGCGGAATGTCTGGTGGTGGGATAGACTCGAAATTTTTCGTTGTTTTCTTTGGAGTTTGCCAAGCCTTCTGATTTATTGTTTTATCATCTGTTTTAGAATTTGCGAGCTTCGGAATGTTCTGAATGCATGCTAAAATGAACTGATTTTGTTGAATTTCTTCTTGTAACTTTGAACGTATTTCTATCGCTGGTGGGGAGGTTAATGTCTTCATAGACTCAAATACAAGTTTAATTTATCGTCGATTTCGTTTTCTAATTTGAGTGAGAGATCTTTGGGGTTAGTCGGAAGCTGAGTATTAAGATATTCTTGCGAGATAGCTTCTGTTAAATTAGGAAAAACTTTTCTGTGCTTTTTAACTACTGCTTCAAAATTTGAAGGGGAGGGTTTGAATTTCTTAGTATTAACAGCTATTTTCTTAGGACTTCCTGAGGTTTTCGTTTCTTTTCTCTGGGATTTACTTTTTTTAGTAGAAATTAGAATAGCAATTATACTTTGAAGCGCCGGGTCATCCTGAAGCAATTACAGGTATCTCTTTGGATGTAGTCGATTTTCTTGAATAATTCGAATAAGTAGAATCATTATCGCTATCATAATCGCTGAAAGTAGCATGCCAAAGAATTTTGCCCCTATCAGGTGGTTCGCTATTACTGGCCATATCGAGGAAAACAAGCAAAAATGATATTTACCAAAAATCAAGAAGAGCAGTCGTCGTCGCAGGAGAGAAACTCCCATATTATAACTCAGAATGTATTATAACTCAGAAATGCACAAAATTTATATCATTTAAAGAATTATCTAAACGTCACCACATGTTCTAATCAAATACTCTAATATATCTAGAACGATGTATAAAAGAAATTAAGCAAACAAAACAAAAAAGAAACAGTTTTTCACAGACGATTCAGTATTTCTCATTCAATTAATTCAGTTCTCACTTCGCGACAAGGCAAAAATACATAAAACTCAAAATATATGTATTAAAAATTACGAAGTAAATCTTAATAACACTTAATCGAAGTAACACTTATTTCCTCGAAAAAATTCCAGAAAGGATAAAGCATGATTTAATTCGCAATAATAAATGAAGGCGTCATCTTTCTTGTTGCGAAGCTTAGTCTCTCTATATTGGCAACAAATATACTATTCTGCTGTTTCAAATGTAAACAAATATGTCCGCCATGGTATTTAAAACTTAACCGCACTTAAACAGCTTTTAAATTGTTGATAATTGTACAAATATTGCTTCCAGAATTACGAAAGGCATTAAAACCTTAACCGGAAGATAAAAACAACATAATTCAATCATTTTTAAAGCAAAAAATGTACAATTTACAAACATATAAGAGTAAAGAAACTGAGATCACTGTGCAGAGTAACAGAGTGGATATATATATAAATATAGTATTTATATACGTTTGGTGCTGCCGATTGCAACCAAAATACGAGGTGCACATTTACATGTTATAGCAGTCCTATATACAAAATTTCAACGTTCTGAGGCTACTTGTTTTTGAGTTATGTGAGATACGAACGTATGCACGTACGTATATACGTTCGTACAGACGCCACGAAAAATTCTCTTCAGAATTAATTTTAAAGCGGTTTATAATTTTTTTGAAGGAAAACAGTATTTTATTCTGTCCTTATGTACAGATATGACGCAAAAACATCGTTAAATTGCATTCGATAGCGGTCAAAATGGATATTTTCGTTGAAATATGCTGCCTGAAACTTTTCGCGATTACAATACTTCCTTTTTACTTCGTACAAGGAAGTAAAAGAGGTCTAATAATTAGTGTATTGTAGAAAGTTATTATACAATTGTGCATAGTTTCCAAAACGATCTTAAAACAAGTATATTTTTCCACTAAGAAAAGGTAAAAACTCGAATAAAATTTTAAATGTGTTAAATTATAATTACTTAAATTTTTACAGAACATTTGAGTGCTTATAGTGGAAACATTTTTTTAATTTTTATAGAACATCTGAGTGCTGATAGTGGAAATATTTTTAAAATTTTTACAGAACATTTGTGTGCTTATAGTGGAAATATTTTTAAAATTTTTACAGAACATTTGAGTGCTTATAGTGGAAACATTTTTTTAATTTTTATAGAACATCTGAGTGCTGATAGTGGAAATATTTTTTAAATTTTTACAGAACATTTGAGTGCTTATAGTGGAAATATTTTTTAAATTTTTACGGAACATTTGAGTGCTTATAGTGGAAATATTTTTTAAATTTTTATAGAACATCTGAGTGCTTATAGTGGAAATAATTTTAAAATTTTTATAGAACATCTGAGTGCTTATAGTGGAAATATTTTTTTTAAATTTTTATAGAAATCTGAGTGCTTATAGTGGAAATATTTTTAAAATTTTTATAGAACATCTGAGTGCTTATAGTGGAAATATTTTAAAAATTTTTATAGAACATCTGAGTGCTTATAGTGGAAATGTTTTATCCAATTACCTTTTAAGAGTTATCATCTCCAATTATTTCTGGTTCATTAAATTTATATATGCTACTAATTTAATTAGGAGCAACAGAAATCGAAATCATTATGCTTATGCACCTCTCCATCTTTGCCGCTGCGGAGAAGCTTAGCAGTGCAGAGGACGAACAACATTTAGGACTTCTCAAGTCCAACCCCGCGAAAGGCACGTATCATTGAAGAAATCGACCCTCATTGATTTGCGGTAAAGAGAAAAGCAGGCAGTGTTAGTTGTTTATCAGAAAGGAGAAGGGTAGCCTCACGCTTGCCAACCGTGACCGTTTTATGACGTCAGATATGCATGTCAATGAATCAATCATGAACAGGCGAATCACTTTTCAGGAGAAAAATGTTAAAATGTTTATTTGTTACTTATATATTATTTGAATGCTAATACAAGAAAAATAAAACCTTTCAAACTGAGTTGTTTTCAAATGAGATGTAGTTTTTATTTTGTTGCAAAATATTTCGTTGCAGGTACGTAACTGGAAACGTTTAGTTTTATTATATTAAGCGTTAGATTTGCATTATTATAGAGAATATAATCTCAAAAATGGATAATTTCCCGTCATAGCTCAATACCAGGGCTCACTGTCTAGTATTTTACTATATCGGGTTCTCGATATATTAGAGAAATTAGTGTATTGTAAACGTAAAATTGAAAGACTTATTGCACTCTAAATTTTGTTTAGATTAAGTTTCTTGTTATTAAAGTGTTTCCTCAAACTTTTCTAGCTATTGTGCAGTTGCTTTCGACATAGCTGTTACTTTAAAAATTTAACCAGCAGTGCAATAAAAGTTCCAATTACTTCAAATATTACAAGAATTGCATGTAAGATTTAACTTGAAATATTATTTGTGATGCTATTTATGAAGATGCGAGCATTTGATGAATTACAGAAGACTGAGCAAAACAATCTTTATATAAAAACTAATAGAAATTGTTTCATTTAAACTTCGTATAAAAGTTCTTTTTTCATCAACTATCATCGGTTGGGCTCTGAATGTTGAGTATATTGCTTGTGTCGCCCGTTTGATACACAAACGTTGAGGTCCACTAGCGGCTGAGCGGTAAAGTGGCTGAACACTGGTAGTTCGATCCAAGATTCGAATACCACGAACGGGCTGGCTGCATGGGCGTTTTCGTGGTTTTACCCATGTGTAACGTGTATACGAGCCAGTTTCCCTTAGAAAGTCCTCCACGAAGGCATCCCTCCTCTTAGGCAGATAGCCCTCGAGGCTTTGCCATAATCACACACACACAAACGTTGAACGTTGTTAGCTATGCTTCTCGCATTTAAAGACTTAGAACAGAGCGATTTTGGAAAGGAATCACTTTTTTTAGCCGGTTTTGATCTCAAAAGGCATAAATAATATGCTATGGGTTTCTTCTTAACGCCTTTAAATTTCAACTGGAGATTGGTATGCAGAGTATGCTGATGCTCAAGATATTGTGCACTATTGATTGAAAGCATTTGCAGTTTCTTTAGTGAAGAATTAAAGAACTTAAAATTCCTATATCGAATGCGAAGCAAAATAAGTGGAAATTATCGATTGTAAAGGCTCAGAGCATTCTTTTAGCGTAAAAGAATTTGTAGCCTGCATTTTTTCCTGCATTTCATTTAAACTTATTTCCTAGAATTTCATTGAAAATATATTTTTCATTCAATTAATTCAGTTCTCACTTCGCGGCAAGGCAAAAGTACATAAAAACTCAAAATGTTTTCATCAAAAACTGAAAGATATAGAAGAATAGAAAACACCCAAATACAGAATTCAAATTAAAGTTTCTACACAAAGACAAGCAATTCGGCCAGTATCCTAATATAGCATGTATTTATAATATGTCGTTGTTGAAAGGAAAGTTGTAGTAACTTTAAAATGGAATTCTCTTATTTTGATTGAAGAATAGAAATTAAGAAGTGATAGCCACTAGAAATACTGCTGTATGGCAGGTGTTATCAACCGGTGGTACGCAAGTAAAAAATAGATGGTACGCAAAGAAAAGTATTTTTAACTATAAATTCAAAAATCTCGTGAAAAAAAAAAGAAAAATTGATAAAAATTTCCTGTGATCGAACTCGAACTGAAGATTTCAAAAATAATACAATTGTTAACTTTTATCTGAATCGAAAATTAACTTTAAAGGTATTTCAAATAAAGCTATTAGTTTTTTATTCATTTTTTGCACAACCTATTTGTGTGCAAATGGCGAAATATATTTATTTTTAATATTTCTATTCAGAAACTGAAAAATAGCTGTTGAACTCGAAAGATTGAGAACTGCTGTTGTATAACAGTATTGTTACGAAACGTACTGCCGCGGTAAGATGGCTTCCCCGCAAAGCAGTTTTATGGCTGCCATAAAATGGCAAGGGAAGCAGGGTTGCTACATTTGGAGAGAAATCGTCCATTTGGTGACAAAATTGGCGATATTCCATGGAGCACGAAAACCTTCTGGAACGAATTCTTACCGGTTTAGCCCAGAATGTTCTCTAACACAAGCCAAAAACTATATAAACCCTGATGGTACGCGGAGAGTGAGTGCGAGGTAGTTACTGTTTCGAGTTAGTCAGTCCGTGCGGAGACGATCGAGTTGACAGTTGGGCAGCGAGTGCCGAGTGGGTTGTCGAGTGCATTGAAAGAGTCTCTTAGTGTATCGCGATTAATGCATCGTCGAGAGAGTGTGTTGAGCTCCGCGAACGACTGAACCGAAGAGTCGGGAGCTGTGCTCTGTGTGTCGTCGAGTGCATCGCGAGTTGTAGCGTGGAGAGTCTCGAGAGTACGTGGAGTTCCGAGAACGACCAAGCAGAGTCGGGAGCTGTACTCTGGTGCTTTGCAGTGAAGCTGGCTCCACTGTTATAGCCTGATAACTGTGTCGCTGATTGTTCCAGCGAGTTTATAGTAGATCTTAGATGACTGTAAAACGTGACTTTGGAGCTGTCTTGATTAATACCGGCCAATAAGGTGTGCTTCGATATTGCATCAAGTGTTGTCATCGTTATTCACTCCAAATCCACACGAACCCCGTACGAACCGGTATCCCGTGAAGGAAGAAAATGAAAAACGTAACAGTATTAAAAAGCGATCAGTGTATTATGCGGGTTGCAGAATCCTGTAGAACTGCCATTTAGTAAAATAAACGAGACATGCGCTTAGCTATGATTTTTCGCTTACGTCAAAATCCTAGTACACGGTACAGCCTCGGCGCGATTTTGAAAATTGTCGCCAACACCAAAGTGACTCATTTACTGCTGATCATAATGTCGCCAAATCCCGTGTGTACCGTATACTAGGATTAAACCTTTATATTTTTATTGTTTGCGTATGCTCAAATCGCCCGTTTTTCTTACATTACTCAAAATACCCTGCAAGTTTCGTAATTCCGAATTTTTTGCCAATCTTGCTTCTTCCTTTAAAGAGGAATTAAATATTTGTGAACTTTTTTTTTTTTTTTTTTTTCAAAATTGGTTTTTAACTTCTTAATCCGTTGCTAAGATACTGGAAAGACTTCGTATCGACAACGCGGTTGCAGATCTTATTGGTACTGCTCTGGAAACCTTCATTCTAAATTAAAAAAGAACTAAAGTTCTTTTAATATTATATATATATATATATATATATTAAGTCGCTTTATTCTTACAAAATTCTTCCACTTTATTCTTACAAAAGTGTAGTAAAATCCTAATGTCTCTGCAACCTGATTGTGCAGCATTTGGTCTCGTTCGTTCGCTCTCCCAGCACTGTCGTAAGTGCAGATTGGAATTCTAATATTCTTCTTTTCTGCCTGTCAGAGTGGACTGCGACCTTATGTTCTATGGTAATTTATTGCTCATCTGGATGAGTACTATCACCCCTCTTAATTTGTAAAAAGTAATTTAGAATAACCCTATATATATATATAGGGTTATTCTAAATTACTATATACCTTATATATATGAATAAAACCTATCAAACCATACCAAATTATTTTCTTCACTATAATACATAAGAGTTGTTTAAATGAAAAGGTACAAAACGTCGTAACAAAATAAACCGGTTGAAATTTGAATACGCCGCTTTAGCATGACACCACCGAGGATGTAGTGTCCACCGTGGTTGTGCGCATGCGTGAGCGCCCGCACATGACGCAAGAGAGAAGTAGGCAGTTGTGTGTTCCGTCCAATTGATGCGGCAATGCGTGTGAGGACATCGTGGCATTCACATATCAGATTTCGATGACTGAAGAGTAGCGAGGTGTTATCAGATTTCTGACTGTTAGAAGGGTTTAAACCGGCGGATATTCATCTCCGGATGACTGTCGTATACGGGGCAAACTGTATTCGACAAGCTAGTGAGAAAGTGCCAGTTTTAGTGAAGGCCTGGAAAGTTTGAGTGATGCCCCGAGACAAGGCCATCCAAACACGGTAAGCATGGCCGAACTCATCGACAAGGTGAACGACCTGATGAGAATGGACACCTCAAATAGAAATGCTTCAACTTGGACGACGAACTGAAGGACCACGTGGAGAACTGGCTCCTGTCACCGCTACAAGGAATTCTGGGAAGAGCGAATCCTTCGGCTCGTAAAACAGTTGGAGAGTTGTGCTCAGGCCTCTGGTGATAACTTGTGAATAAAAACTTCAATAGATTCATAGTGTCGAGTCGCACCTTTTCATTTGAACACCGTTTGTATTTAAGTATTTGGAGAAGGAATGGTGTGATAAATTTACAATTCGTTTTAACAGAAATAACAACGTTCGCTGCAGTCTCACTTTCCGAAATAAGCAGAACTTCAGACGCATTGAAGAGTCCAAGATGGTAGCAAATAAAAAATTTAGCAAAAACGCGCCATCCAATATATTTTTTGTCATTTGTAACCATTAAATAACTGTGACCATCTTCTGGGCCTGCGCCGCCCATTTTTGAAAGTTGAAGTTCATTGTTGTGTCCGACCCTCCAGATTTGAACCTACAGTTAGATCAGATGCGGGAATGATATTAAGTTTGTAATATTCTCTAGCTTAACTATTTGGCTTATAACCACGACTCTGACTCGTGGTAAAGAATTTGTGCCATAAACAAAAGCCACGAGTCTGACTCGTGGTGACGAATTTGTGCATAAAATGCCGCGTATTATTGTTAGAGCAAGCGATTGGAGTTATTCTACATCGAATATTTTCCTTTGAGTGTAACGTCAGTAGTAGTTTTTTTTTTTTTTTTTTTTTTTTTTTCAG